AACATGTAATTTTAGTGTAAAACATTCTTAGGATTATCTCAAAATTTATTTTCATATCTATTTATAAAATTTTAAACTTAAAAAATAGTCAAAATCAAGTAGATATATAAAAATATGAAAATATTGAAAATGGACGGTCTAAATAATATGTTGCAAGATGCACAATTTATGGGACTCAAAAATAAACTTTTCTTTAAATTTTATAATAAAAAATGAACATATATTTTAAGGCCACTACAAAAAAATTTAATATTGAAACCATATTTCTTGACACTATTTGAAGGTGGGCTCTAATTTAATTGTTTAGAGCCTCGGCCCTATACAAACCGCACCTTTTAAAAAACTCAATTTTTTTTTAAAAAATTATACTCTAGTAAAAATAGGGGTGGCAATGGGTCAGGTCCGGCTGGACTTGAATCCATACCCGAATGTATTCGGGTCCATGTTTTGGACGTAGACCCGACCCGTTGGGTACAAAAGTTGGACCTATACCCGTACCCGTCGGGTCCCGGGTTTGGTCGGGTCCATTGCTACCCTCACTATGAGCTTCTTGTTTTGTATCCTACAATAGTGAACAACAAAGAATTGATTTTTGAGTTGTGGGCGATTAGAGAGAGAGACATTCGAGATGCAGAAAGAGCTATGTCTCTAAGAAGCTGAGAGAGGGAGGATGGCGATGGGGTTTGGTCGTTTGGAGAACCAGGAGAAGATGAAAAATATTGAAATGATTTTAGGGTTGGGGATTTGGCCTTTGGGTAAACTAAAAATTCGGGTCCAGATACCTGCCAGATCGGATATAGCAGGACCCGTACCCGTCCCCGGACCCAAAACCATCCAGGTAACCTGTTAGTTCAAAACTTGGACCCATACCCAAACCCGTGCCGGATATAGCCGGCGGGTATGGGTCGGGGCTGGGTCCATTGCCACCCCTAAGTAAAAGTGTGGTGCCTATTCTCAATGTCGAGAGATTAATTTCAAATTGTCTAGTCACCGTTAGAGCAATAATTGGAATGTGCTAGTCGAATAGGAATAAAGTGACAACCGAAACCCACGAGGCATCCCACCTGGATCATCAGGCCTCCAAACATTCTTTGCTTTTCTCACCCAACCAAACTTGCAATACCAAAAAAGAACAAATACCGACCTCTCCCTTTCTTCACGCCTAATTCTCCAGCTATCTCTCTTGGCGTCCTCTGCAAATTCCGGCCATCTCCATGGCCGGAATCCAGACCCTATTCCTCCTCCTCCCAAGCTTCTTCCTCTTCGCTCTCTCTCAGGCTTCGTTTATGGTGGACAATTCGACCGAGCTCGCAAACCCCGATAGCGGGGGTTCCAGCCGAGTCTGTGCCCAAACCGAACCCACATTGTGCCCTGTGACCTGCTTTAGACCGGACCCAGTGTGCGGGTCCAATGGCGTGACTTATTGGTGTGGGTGCGCTGATGCTTTGTGCTCTGATGCCGTGGTTTTGAGGTCGGGGTTTTGCGAGGTGGGCAACGGAGGTAGCGGGCTCCTTTATGGTCAGGGCCTTTTGCTGGTTCACATGGTTTGGCACATCGTTTTAGGGCTCTTTGTTATAATGGGGATTCTTTGATAATTGCGTCTTAGTTGTCAATCTTGAGAATAATGTTTGTTGATAACATTGTTTTGTGTTCCTAACAAATTGTGTTTGAGAGAGGGCATAGAGATATGAGGTCTTAAATATAAGGTGAATGAAAAATGTAATTAGTTGGATTTGGGGATTTATTTTCGGGCATTGGAGTGTGGATGGATCAGTCGTTTTGGTTTTGGCCAATGTATAATAAAATGGATAAGTGGGGCGGATCATCCACCCCAATCCCAGTTGAGATCGGTTGGATCGGCGATCAGTTGAGATCGGTTGGATCGGCGATCTTGATCCTTCTTGAATCGTCTGGATCACTGATCTAAAAAGGGAAATAAAATAAAATAAAAATTAAACTAGAGGTTTATTAGATAGGGATTCAGAAAGACAGTAGAAAACATTAGATAAGCTTAAAAAAAAAGAAGAAGAAGAGAAGTTATTAGTAATATACCTTAGTTTTTGTCTTATTGGAAATAAAACCATACTTTTTTAAACCTCGTCCATATATTTTTTTTACATTTTGTATTTTTTTTGGGCCAAAATAACCTTCACGGTAGTCATATGACCGGGAAGGCATTTAGTAGACTCAATGCCGTGATGATCTTAATATTTTGAGGTATCAAGGTACTTAAAATGCCGTGATCGTTATGATAAGTATCATGATACTTAAAGAACCGTTATGGTTCGAAATATAGATTCACGATAATTAAAAAACCCGATGGTTATTTAAAATTATCACGATCCTAATTGACGTTGAAGTATTATATAGTAATAATGGTCATAAAACAATCGCGATTGTTTCTAACCAACTTCCCACGGTTTTCTCCTTCTATGGTTTTCTCCTTCCCAAACCCAAATGATATCTTCCCATCCATCACACTCTCTAATCCCACCCCTCTCTTCCTTAGCCTCCTCTCTCTTTCTCTCTCTCTCTCTCTCTCTCTCTCTCTCTCATTTCTCATCCATTTGCTATACTCTCCTTCTATTTCTCAATCTCTGAACGAGGTCCTTGAGAGCTATTTTTGAATCAGTGAGTGTCAAATATACACTCTAACACCAATTTACAGGTATGTCCTCAAAATCGTCAAGCATTTAGTTATATTCCCTTGGATGTGTGGTGACAACATTTTGTATAAAATATTATGTACTTTTTTCCATAGTACTTGATGCAGTTGGGTTGGCCATTGGATTTTTTTATTTAAAATATTGCATAAATAAGTTTCAGATCTATATTTATATTGTGGCTTTTGTTTGGCATTCTAGTGTCCCTCTATAATGCTTCCTCCTCATTATGTATAAATATTTTCAAACCTTTATACCTGCATTGCTATCTTCCAATGTGTTATTGATCCCAAATATTTTCATTTTATATTTGTTTCCATTTAAAATTGGAGATCTCAGCAGTGATTGGGCTTGCACGCTCCAATAATGGGTGATGATAAAATGAAAATCGCTTCATACTTTGGTGGTTCTTTCAAGAGGAATTCTAATGATGAGAGTCTTTTCTATGATGTTAGGGACTTTAAGGTTACATTTTTTAAGCGAGTCGGTTCATTTGACCAACCAAAGGCTCACTTGTCAAAAGAAACAAATTATGCCTCAAGAATCGTGGCTATTAGGTATAATGACCTAGAGTTACCAAATAACATGAATATGTTACGTATTAGTGATGATGATGACATTGCAAATATGTTGAAAAGGCCTCCCCCCATTGTTAGGTACTTATCAAACAAACCTATTTAGTTGGACTCCACAGAATATCGACCACTAATACTAGCCGAGAATGGTCCATCAAGATTGGCCATGTAAGAAGTTTTTTATAAAATGTATTAATTTTTTATTTGACAATATTTTTAGTACGGATTTTATGGGTTAGGATCATTGATAATTCTCACTTGTTCTTCTAATATTTTTTCGACAGTGAAACCCACGAATCTATACTAAAGCAAGTAGTTTAGAGTGAAGGTACTAGAATTGGCATAGAAGATGAGTATGATTTAGAAATCAAACACCATATCGACGACATCAATTTGATAGAAAGCCCCATTAAGAGTGACCGTTATGAAGGTGTAACTTTGTAGACACTGCATTTTAAACTTGGCAAATTCTGTGGTTTCCTAAACCTTTAAGACCATACTATCTTAGTAAACCCAATTCCATAGTTTACACAGCCTACCCTGTGACTCAGAACCAATCTGCTTACCTAGAACCCTGCAGATGTCCTGTTTTGACCCAGAATCCTTTAAATGCCATATTTTACCAAAATAATTATTAAAAATAGTAAAAAACTCCTTTTTGACCCAAATTTTCTCTGAGAGCTTCATAAGACGATGAAGAACACACATAAAATGAAAAATTCAATTTGAAAAAAATTTGGTTTAGGCGACACTAGAAGTGGCGCCTAGACTTGGGCAACACTAGCCCTTTTTAGCCCAAACTGAAATTTCCCTTTCGGAATGGATTTCTTACCTTTTTTGAAGATTTTTGCCACTTTTATTTAGGCGACACTAGGCGGTCGCCCAGATCCGGACCCCCAAAATAGGAATTTTTGGCTAGAGAATCTGTTGGTTATGGAAAGATATCCTTCCCAACAAATCCTTGGCCCTTATAAAATCTCTTTTTCGTGGCCATTCAAAGGGACCTTTTGGGAGAAAGTTAGGGAGGAAGATTGAAACCCTAGAGAGACCTCTTGAGACTTCGTCAAAAAGAAAAACCCTAACCCTACGCCTAAGCCTAAAAACCTTAGATCTCTAGGGCACAACAACCCTAGTTCTAAATCATCCTTAGGGCACAACAACCCTTTGAAACCAGAGATCTGCCGGTCAACATTCGAATCAGAGAGGCAAAGAGGATGCTGGTTCTGATATGGGTGAGCCCTCGAAGGCTCGGGAGTCTCGGGCCATCCGACCCCGTTTGGTATTGTTTATTACCATTTCCTTCTTCTTCTTATTTCTATTTTATTTTATTTTTATCTGTTCATTCCTTTGAATTCGTGTTTTTAATGTCTTGGATCATGCTAGCTCTGCCACAGATCTGAGAGAAGATCTACTCGTTTTCGGGTAGATTTTGCCTCAGATCTGAATTCGATTTGTCCCACTTTCTCTACCACTTTATTTTCATCAGTTTAAGGTGTCAAGATCCGAGAGATCTTCACCGGAAGATCTGTCATATTTGCATCATAAACAATCACCCAATCAAAGGACGACAACTCGTCTAAAACCCAGAGATAATAATTGATGTCTCGAGGTCGGGTAGTGTCATTGGCATATCCCAGTCCTAGAGCAGTAGATACAACCGTCATTGATAGAGGAGGACAGACACCGGCTATGTGTTCATAGTCTCAAATCTGCAGAAAACAGGAGCCAAAATCACCCTAACAGGTCACATAACAGAAGCCCAGGACCCCGGAGCCCTCAGGGGCAAATTGACCAGGGCGACACTAGTGGTGCCGCCCAGCCTGTGTGGGTGACACCACCAGTGTCGCCCAACTCAGATCCTCCCGGTTCAGTTCGGGCCTTTTTCAGTGAACATTTGTTGCAAAAATATGGGATCTAAGAGCAAAAACCAAAAGAAAAATTGAGTTGCAGGGGAAAAAATAAAGCAAAATTGAGTTCAATAATATACCTGCAAAATTAGGACACTGCCCTGGATGAATAGGTCACCTCGCGTGACCTGGTTATGAAGACGCCGGTAAATGCCCGCCAATACGATGAAGATGGGAAGAAAAAAGAAGAGATTGAAAGATGAGAGAAGAATGGGAAGGAGGTGGACTTTAAGGAAAATCTCACCCAAAACTCGTCCTGCAGATTTCCACTTCAGCCAACAGAAGATTTAGATAACCCTAAGACCTTCCAAAACGATAAACTTCAATTTTAGAGGTCGGTGGTCTAGGCGACAAGCATGGTGTCCCCCAATTTCGTATCCAGGCTGAGTGTCGATCGGGCGGCACCACTAGTGTCGCCCATAATTTTTTTGAAAAACAACCCCTCTCATCTCAGCCAAAACACACAAAAAAAAATAAAAAATAAAAAAAAGAAAAGAAAATTTCCTTGGGTGACACGAGACGTGTTGCCCAGCTTGTGAGGGCGACACCACTGGTGTTGCCCAAATCTTCCATGCCATTTTCTATTTTTCCCTGCTTAAATCCCATTTTCCATAAAAAAAAAAATTTAGATATTTTTTTTATATGGGCCTGTGAGGGCGACACGAGTTCTTTTTTGTAAAAACTTGTTTTTTTGATTCCTAGCAAAACACGTAAATAAAAAATAATATATATATTTTTTCTCTTGGGCGACACCAGCCGTGTCGCCCAGACATGGGCGACACCAGCCTTGTCGCCCAGACATGGGCGACACCACCAGTGTTGCCCAAAACCTTTTGTCAAAAAAAGCCCCCGCTCATTTGTGAGGTCATCCGGGGATCAATTTTGGTTATGTCATGAGTTTTACGATTTTTCTTTTCAAACATTTTAATTAATTTTCAAACACGCCTTAGTGGCACAAGCCTCAACTGCCAACCAAATTTCCAAAAGCAAATTTCAAAAAATAAAAAAGAAAACACTCCTCGATGGCATGAGCTTAAACTGCCAACCAATTTTCCCGAAAAAATAAAAAATATACATAAAAGAAAAAAGAAAATGCTCATCGGCAGTACGAACTTAAACTGCCAACCAAAATCCAATTAAAAAAACATCAAACTCATGCGACATAAAAGAGTTGAGACAGGAAAAACGTCAAACTCGTGCCACGTAAAAGAGCCGAGACAAGTATCGTCTAGCCCCATATGACGTGAAAGGTCGGGTGTATCCTGTTCAAAGACAAACTCGTGCGATGTAAAAGAGCCGAGGCAGGTAATGTCTATCCCCGTATGATGATAAAGGTCGGGTATATTCTGTCTAACCCCGTATGACGATAAAGGTCGGGTGTATCCAGTTCAACTTTAAACTCGTGCGACATAAAAGAGCGGAGGCAGGTACCATCTAGCTCGGTATGACGTAAAAGGTCGGGTGTATTCCATCTAGCCCCGTATGGCGTAAAAGGTCAAGTGTATTCTGTCTATCCCCGTATGACGTAAAAGTTCGGGTGTATCCAGCTCAACGTCAAACTCGTACGACGTAAAAGAGCCGAGGCAG